TGGCTTCCAGTGACAGGATGAGGGGCAATGGGCACAAGCTGGAACATAGGAAATTCCATTCAAATATGAGGAAAAACCTCTTTATGGTGAGAGTGACAGAGCACTGGACCAGGCTGCCCAGGGAGGTTGTGGAGTCCCCTTCTCTGGAGATTTTCAAGACCTCCCTTGATGCAGTCCTGAGTAATGTGCTCTAGGTAATCTTGCTTTAGCAGGGGAGTTGGACCAGATGATCTCTAGAGGTCCCTTCAAACTCTGACAATTCCATGATTCCATGAAGAGGGAGGACAATACATTTTGACACATGAACAACAATAAACATTTGCTATAAACTGGGAAGTCATTAGCTGGAAACTATCAATACTCTGAAGATTGGGTTGAATTAACTTTTCACAGAATGGCTGTGTGCCACAAGCATGATAGAGACACAAAAAGACAAGTGTACTACTAGTACTGTGTAAGCCAACTCATGGAGATGATTGCACTGCATAGTTCTGGTCCACAGTATTCAAGAAGGCTGAAGTTTAAGAGAAAAAGGCACCTAAGATTATACAGATGAAAAAGAGGAAGTCGAAACTCTGAGACAAAGGGATGAAAGGCTTGTATAAATTGTATAAAACAGTTGTCTAAATATGCATCATAGGGTGAGGAGGAACTGGAAATGATGAACTGCTATCGAGAGAGGGAGCTATCCCTCCTTCATTAGGGATAGAGGACAAGGTTAGCATGCTAAAAACTAGGAACTAATTTGACTGTATGGTAATTCCTTCACCTATAGAGCAAACAGGATTTGACATGGCCTTCACATGGGTAAAGCAGGGGGCAGGAAAGGGGAAGAGCAGTGACAAACAAAGACTCAGCCCAGCTGTTAAGAGAGGATGCAGGTACCTTTACGAAGGAGGTATCAGGACTTGGACCTAACAATCCAGGGGTTCTTCTCCAGACCTCTGCTCCAAAATTGAAATCAGGAATATTTGCCCATATCTTCTTTCCATTTAATTGCACAACAAGCAGAGACCAAGGTGCTGTGCCACTGTGCAACTCATTCGCTTTTGTTTGTACAGTGAAATGAACATGGATGGAGAGCTTTAATCAAGTCCTCTCCAGGTACAATGACTCTCTCCACTTGCCTTCTCAATTTCAATAATGTTTGTAGTGTTCTTCTTTTTAAGTCAGATAGATCCTTCTGAGCCTTCAGGGCATTTACATACTACCCTTCCTTTAGAAACTTGCATGTAATGAATATGTTAAGGATTGATGTCCTTTAAAAACCAGCGAAATGTTGAGTTGTTCCTGACCTTCAATTTCATGGAGTTAACAGTTATTCAGCCTTTGGCAGTCTGTTTGATAGAGAGAACTATTGGGATGACTACTGTGATTTATCTTTGAACAACTGACTACACAGTAACTATCTGCTTTGATTTTAATAAAATTTATTCTCATTTCTCTTATTAAAACTGATTGGCAGAACAAGCCCAGTATATTTAGTTACTACAGACTTTTAAAAACAATGAGTCAAAAGACAACTACCTAATAATTCAAATCTTTACAATCCGTCTATTGCCTCAGAAACGAGTATTTATGGACAATGACAGATACTACCCTGTTTGCTTCACAGCCATTTACCAATTTAACCCCTAACCCAGTCTCTGTTTTTCTCTGCAGCAAGGTGATGTCCTGGCATTGAAAAATGTATTTACATGTAAGTTTCTATCACTTCTCTTATGCAATGACAGCAGCACTAGCAGAATCCATTACTTCTCAGCCATTCAGATTTCAAATACATTTAAATGGGGAAAACCATTCATTTCTGAGAAGGAATAAATAAAGTAACTCTGTGTTAATGGATGTATTTAAGATAGAAGTAAAAAATACGAATTGCGTATAAGGAAGGCCATCTCTTTTGAAGGACAGAAAACAGGTGAGGGAGGCATGCAAATTTCTATAAGCTGTTCATTGGAAGCTATATAAAATGCATCCAAAGGACAGTATTTGCCTCTGGCCCCAGCATCTAGCAGGTCCAGTTATATTCAGCATTACCTATGGGAAGAATTAACTCAAGCTAAATACTGAATAAAACAACAAAATATGCCATACACAAAATGATCTAAAAAGTACTTTCAGGTAGCAAAGTCACAAAAGCAGCATGTGCTGAAATGAAAATGGTTTACACTTAAAAAGAGATTTTCTCATATTGATGCTGTGATCATCTCCTTGAAAAATTATACATCCTTGTTGCAAACTACAAGGGCATTATATGAGAGTTCTTAGACATAGTTCAAAATTAGAATAGTAGGTTTGCTGCTGATTTCCTCATAATGCCAATTATACTGACTGAACAGATTAGCTACTCCATGAGAATTTCAGATGTACATGTCCGAAGGAATGACATGCTGAACCCTTTGTAATTGTTATTGCAAATGTAATTTTTACTAAAAAAGCTGTTCTATATTCATAATAGTACAATGACATGGGAGTGCTAAATAAAATGTCATCCTGACTGCAAACAAATCCTGTTGCTGCAAGTGCTGCTTATACCACTGTGTCTGCCATTAAGAAAGTAACCACCGTCTTCTGGGAAAGCATTCAGAGTCTTGTTCAATTGAGACTGTGAAAATGAGAGCACTTGGGGAATAGACCTGGGAACCTGGCAACCACACTGCTGGAAAAGGATCCTCACAACAAAAAGAATTTGCATGTTCATCTCTCTATTACCTAAGAAGGACACTCCTGCAATTAAAGAATCTCCATACAGTATCTGATGCACAAGTTGGAGAGTCAATAATAGCTATCAAGAAATAGTTTTTCCCTATTTTCCACGACAATGCAATATATGTTAATAGAGCTAAGCATACTGTACATCAAGTTCATGATGAAAACTGTAGGAGTTTAGGTAATGACACCAACAGGAGCAGGATTTGGCCCTGTTAGCTAGGCTAAAATATAACTTTATTGCGATTCCTTTCAGCTGCTTCATCTTGTGCATCAGAAAAATGGGTTCAATGGGACACAAAATTCTGGTGGAACACAGTCCTTTTAATAAAAGTAATTTTTTAGAGCTATCTGATTAATTTTCAGCTGCATTTTTAGTCAGAAGCAGAGTTTAATTAAGCAATTAAATTATAAACACAGCCTATAAACCTCTAGCTTCACCTAACTCACGCAGTCAATTTCCATTTACTCACTCTATGTGATAGGCTTTCCTCTCATCCATTCTCTAATATATTTATCTACCAGGTCACTTAAGGGACACCTTTGCTATCCTATCTTAAAAATACGGCAATAGTCTATTTCAAAGTGTGCATAAACCTCATAAACCTAATGTAAAATGACTGAAATCAGGTACAGTTTTGTTTTTTTTCTTTCTTTCTCGTGTTTCTAACTGTATGTCATCTGTGCTTAATCGTCTCCATTTCTGATATAATGAGTCTGCAAGAAAATAAGAATAGCAAGCGTGTGTGGCAGAAAATTTGTACTTGAGGTGATGTAGACTATATAAAAGTGCACAGCTGACAATTTAGAGCACAAAGGTCAAAGGACACAAACTCTAGAATTAGCTTTCTCATTTCACAAATGAATTTCAAAATTTTTCTAAATTTCTAATTTGAAGAGATATTTTCTTCAATACCTACAGGTGTAAAAATTCTGAACTGAATATTTGTGCTATCTAGATTTAGATATTTTACTGAGTAGGGAAACTTTCTTAAGCTGCATTTGTATTTGATGGTGAGAGATAAGTCCTTTTACAGAGAAGTTGCTGAAGGAGCCTCGAAGCCCTCTCAATCACCTGATCAACATGAGCTCATGTCATCTCAGTCTAACAGGCTGAGGAACAAATGCCTATACCAGCCCTGCATCATCTCCATTCTTCTTTCACAATCCCAAACAGAGTTCTTCTATTTTGAGAGCATTTAAAGCTTTCAAATGAAAACCAGTGGAAGTTTTGGGAACCAATGGAATTTTTTGAATCTTCAATACTGACTGTAAAAAAATTAGTTTCTATAATTTGTTGGTATCTTTTCCTTGTTTACTGGATAAAAAAGCTGTTCCTCCAGAAATGAACCATCTTTCTCCCTTCAAACCCCTCATTGGCAAAGAGCTCCATTTAGAACTAATTTCATGCAACCTTTAAAGTCATCACCCCTAGTCTTTCCAGACGAAAAATGATTTCATGCTGAGAAAACAATGCCCCTTCCTGTAACTGTGGCTGATATTTGTGGAAACCCCACAAAGCATCATGATCAGGCTTCCACTGGGTCTGTGTGTACATCTTTAAAAAAGATATGACAAAGTCAAAGTAGTGTGTGCATCTATTTCCAACCATATATATGCACAACCCCTCATACTTCTATGCAGCCACAAATACTACTTCAGCTATGCTCTTTTTATTAGCAGTCTATCAAATATTTGTATATAAGCGCTCAAAAAACTCTCTGCGCTATTGGAAAATGTACAACATATCAGCTTCAGGAAATGAGGAACACAAAGACCTACCATCCTCACAACGTTCCGCTGTAACTAGAAAAATAAATGTATCACTGAACGAAGCCATATCAGAGAAATTTAAAACCAGCTTTATGCAACTGATTGTCCTATTAAGACCTTCATCAATAAATCCAGCAACCCATTTAAAAATGAATACCATGTTTGCTGATGACTATGAAACTACGTTTCTCTAAATACACAAACTGATTTTTGAATTTAACAGCCAAATTTTTCTGCATCACTTATTTACACTTCTTTCACAGAAACTACAATTGCATCATATTCCAAAATGTAACATTATCTAAATTGTTAATAAATATGCACATCATAAATCATAAATCATAAATATCAGTGTAAATGAAGAACACATGTACTATACTACATAAAAATTAAATTTTATGTTCAGACATATTCTGGTCAATATCTTGATACTGTTGAAATCAACAAAAACAATAAAAAAACAGACACAACACACTAAATCTGTAGGACATGCAGACATGCACACAAATAGTAATCACCTGAGTCCTTTTCTGCTGTTGCTAAATTTAAAACAAAAAAAAGAAAGAAAGAAGAAAAACATCATTACAGAAATATAACTATTTTTGTTTCATTAGAGTAGAATAAGGAGTTAAAATCTTCTCTAAAATCTTGAGCATAGCAGTGAGAGTCCTGACAGTCAGCTCACTCAAGTGATGGGTTTTCTCAGCTGAGGGAGAAATGGTGTACGTGGTTAGGTAGTATATTTTTATTTACTAGGTCTACACGGTCTGTATTTCAGGCTCACTGGCTGAGTTTGCATCCATATTGTGCCGGGGAAATTAGAAACATAACATAAATAATAGAATAATATAAGAATGTATGATTTATTTTTTTTTGTTGGAGCATTCTTTGCATCTCTACTTTTTAGGTAGTTACTATTGGACTACAGCTGATATTATCATGCAACAGTTGCATTTTGAGTGACTGATATGATGATGTTCAGCAAAGAAATATTTAAAGAATAGGAAAAAAATGCCAACAATGAATGACAGCTACATTTGAGGACATCAGTAATGTTATAAAGTTAATGACGATGTGCTTTCTGTATGGAATTTGAGGAGCAAACAATTAATGTAAACACTAACATGCATTACTTTCAAGAGAAGAAGGTAATTTCAGTGCACAGCTATAATAATGCTCCCATAAACCTCACGAAGAATAACGGAACCTACTGCTGAAAATTATTACATTTATATTGGTAAAAATGTAGGATATTTCTAATGACCTGAGCATAAAAAGAGACAAATACAGGTACTACTGCTACTGAAAACCAACGTGTTTAATTTTCTGATGTTATAATGCTGGAGTCCTTCACTTTCAAACAGTGCTCTATTCTCAGAAAAGAACTCAACTTTTTTCTGTTAACAATGTGCATATTTTAAGGCACAAAATTTGCGACTCACAGTGGAACTGCCACAATCCTCTAGGATATAGTTAGAAATCCTTGACAAAGATGTACTTACTACACTATAAAAAACTTTTGCAATTCAATTTACTGTCAGCAAGTTTAGGTATCTTTTGCATGCTTTTGTCGTCTTTGAAAAATGGTTCTATTTTTATACCCATCATTTCAACAGGTTTGCTAAAAAAAATGAAATACTGACCATTAAAAAAGAATCCCTTTTATGAAAACAGATAGATAATAACTAAAGAAAACAGTATTTTTGCTTTTTCATTTTCTAGAATAGATTTAATATTCATCCTTTCCTTAACACAACATGATATCATAATTAATTATGATAAACTGGTTACTAAGATGGTTTCATGTTGTTATTCCCATGATATAATACTGGTTGCCATAGTGATCAGATGGGTTTTTTGTTAATCACTTGTCAGATTGGTTACCTCATGTTTTTCAGAGAATTTGAGCAGAAATAGAAAAAAGGCAAAAGTTGGCTTTATAATATTGTTAAACATATAAGGCTTCTTCATTTTGCTGCTATGATAACTCTATTTCTTCTAGGTCATTGCTAGAAATATCTGCTATGAAAAAACATACTATGCATAAAAATTGAATTTTTTATAGCAGAATTCATCCTTCATGTATTTTCCTGCTAATTGACTCTACTGACAAAAAACCAGATGTACAGATGTGCAAACACTGTTTTCTACTCCTGAATATATCTGTACAAATATATCTCAAGCCTTCTGCACTTTATGGAGAATAACAGATGTGTCTTGAAAAGGCAATTGACTCTTATGAGTTCATTTGGGTTTTACCTAAGTTTTACAAAAATTAAAATGTCATTGCGTAAGCTAGCAATTTTTTTTTTAACAAAATTTTCATTAATTTCATGATATACATTCTAGAACATACATATATTCCAGAAAAAATGGTGATTACCACTAGTATTTTCCCCATTTAGTTCATTCAGGAAATCAGGATGTAATTAAGGTTTTAATGATCAGGTTATTATTATATATCTGACAACACAACAGCAAAAATAAATAAGATGTATCTATCTGCCTGTCTTGTAAGTATATCAGAAAAACATCTATATCCAGAGTTCTCAAGTTTCAAGGTACTGTTACTGCTGATAAAGAAAAAAATTCCTGTCAGTAGTTTAATTACTAGAAATAGTTAGAGAAATAAAAAATAACCCATAAACAACCTTTTAGATTTACGGAGAACTCAAAAGTAAGAACAAAGGGCAACTTAAATTAAGAAGTCCTAGTCTTCCATTCAAACAGGGTCCCAGGAGGCATATTAAAGCAATGAATAGGAAAAAGCTCCATAGTTCACCAGCTGAGATTTTAATGAGACATTTCCCCTTGCCGTGGAAGGGGTTTGTTCAGGAAAGGGAAAAGGCTGCTCACAGAATATTCAGTTAAGATGCATTGTTGGCTTTTACAGCCACTTTGGCAGTTGATCGCTGTACTAACCTTCTATTTTGGCATATTCTGTAAGTCGAGTGTAATTGATCAAGGCAGCCTTCTCCAGACATTTTCTAACCACTTTCTTCACCTCTTCCGCTGGTATGGGAGTGGCAATATCTTTCATTAAAACCTGTGCCAGAGACAATTACACCGCTTGGTTACACTCATTACCCAAAACCCAAGGGAAAAGGATAAAAGTATTCTAAAGTTACTACAGATCTGATAATGACTAAAGGCAGAAAGCAAAAGGGAACTATTTCAGCTGGAACTAGATATTTGTCTTTGAAGGTTCCTATTCAACCCTGATTTGACCGCCTATATGGTATTTATATACAATAGCCCTACTGTTTGGCAACTTGCAGCGTGCCAGTCAGTCTTCACTTGGGTGACGCCAAGACCAGTATAGCAAGAGCATTTTGTGGATGGGCTGGATCATGGTGCCCACTAAAGTTGTGAATGTGGAAATTTGCTTGGTTCTCACCTGTGGAAAAGCTTCCACTATTGCATAACCATTGACTCTTCAACAGTGTAAAGGAGAAACTGTGAACACCACCATCAGAACTAGCTAATACCGACCTGTGTTTCCTCCTTCATAAAGTCATGCAAATTCAGCTTGTCCTTGGCTGTGAAAAACTGTCATCTAGAGTAGGCAGGGGAAATACTGACCTTACGGTGGGATATTTTATTACAGACAAGTAGAAAAACAGATCATATAAAGCTTTCCTAAAACCTGCCAGTTTTTAAAGCCTATTGTTTTTTTTAAAACATAGGACTTTGATAAAATGGATCACCTGCTGCAAGTGAGGTAAACTGAGAATATATACCTCTTTACATGAATGCAACATTATATACTCTGGGTTACTAGTATGAACTTTGGTCATCTAAAAAAATTGAATAAATATTGTTATCAATTCACTTGCATTTTTACTTCAATTCTATACTCTATTAACTTTCAACAGGTAGATGTAAACAAAACTCAATATGTTTTTACCACATTTGAATGTAAACAATGACATTTCAGACAACTCACAACCTTTTAAAATTGCTTCTCCAATGGATCCCCAAACAAGCTACACCTTTATACAACATATAAACAACATATACGTTATACAACATAAAAAAATACTGTTAAAGAAGGTGAGAAAGAGATATGATCTGGGGAAGAATATAGGAGGAAAGAAACAGGTTCAGCAACAGAGAAGCTATTAGGAAGGTGTTGCAAAGCAGACTCCTTCCATTAGTTACACACACATATGACGTACCTACCTTTGTTAACTTGCTTCTTTTTAATGAATAACTTCTGGGTTACCAACAAGTGAAAATACAGTATTCAAAAACTTTTATTCTGGATCTGTTTTTTTTTCCAAAATTTTCAGATAGGTAAAATAAAATGTTTGTAACACATTGTGCATTCACAGGGATAGGCATGGACATTTATTCCCAGCCCAAACTGACGATGCTGTTGCTTGAGCAGCAGACACTGCAATTGTTACAGCAGAAACAGTGAGAAGAAATGGCTCTTTCATATAATACAGAGCAACCTACACAGCACTATAATCACTGAGATTGTAAGTGAAAGAAAACATATATACCCAGACTACGTGTTTTTGAACATGGTGGAGCTTTCTAAGACAGGATCTCCATCCCTGGAGTGTTCTGCAGTGCAGAACAACTGACACTCTCCAGAACCAGACCTCTCAGATGTTGACAGAGCCACACAGACTGGGATCTAAGCTTTTTTTGAATTCATACCTTCACTGGGCTCCTGCTGATACAATTCCTCTGGAATCTCTGCTGGAATTTAAAGTTCCCTTTCCTCAGAGAAGTCTGACATGCTTGTGCCATTACAAGGTCCTCTCTTTTCCAGTCAATACAAGAGAATTTGCTGGGCAGGGGTTTATATTTATAGCTGTCCATGACAGTTTTGCTGCATATAGCTTTTTCTTCTTAAATTGACTAGATTACATGTTTATGGAAGATTATTTGGATTATACAGAAGCTTTTTAATGTTACATATCATTACAGACAACATCAGCAGCACAGAACCCATAGAAAGCAGGAAAGGGGGGCTATAGAGCAGACTTGTATTACTTTAAAGGTAACACTGGGTAATCATTAAATTATAAAGAAACAGAGAATCACTACTGCAGCTTGAAGTGAAAGTCCAATAAATAAGTTCTACAGAAAACAGCTGCTTTCCTCTGCAGAAAATACTGAGGAAGAAACTTCCCAGTCAACAATTAAAACCAGCAGTAAAATACCTGAGAAGACATGAGTCTGCTTTCAGCAGCCTGAAAGCAAAAGAAAAATGCAGGCTTAGTATTCAAGCAGAATTTAAACTATGTTCTCAAACTTACCCTTTCAAGTAATGAAAGTGTGGCTTTTAAAGCTCCTTCAGGACGTCCAAAAGGGAAACAGTATCTTAAAAAGTTAAAAAAAAAAAAGGAAAAAAGAAAAAAGAGTAAGAGAAAATTATCAGAATTATTATACATAAGTTAAGAATTTACTTTGAGGTGTAAGTACACAACTGTAAATTGTGTTAGCAGAAAACTCCCATATGCAGAGTACTAATGATAGCAGGAGGGCCTCTTCAGTAGTCTGCCATGGAGCGTACACATAGTGCAGCAGCATCAGACCACCAGCAGCTCAGGCCTAAATAGAGAAAAAATACAAAAGACAAAAAGCATCACTTCCACTTTCTCAGCTATGAAGGATAATAGAGAGACTAATGGTCTCTGATGAGCCTAATTGTTATCCTCCTGGAAAGAGGTACTGTTTGTCATGTAGCCATGCCAGCTACTGGAGCTGTCTATTATATCTTGTTTTAATATATGGGAATAAAAATGCCAGTAGATATTCCATGATTTTTCCTATTTTATTATAAATATCTTGGAAACATTTTAATTATTCTTAATCTTGTCAGCTACAACTGAAACCATACCCATTTCTGTCTTGATACTTCTAGAATTATGTAAATTAAAAAGTGATCCCTTTCATAGCCTTGTTTTTCATTTTTGTCTACTGGAGATGCAATATAACAGTTCTATGAGACCACAATGCTTAAACAACTGTAACCTCTCTTAATCCTGTCTATAAAATCTTGCTGGATATCCCCAATTGGAAAAAGGATTTTTTTACATTGCTGAGATTATTTTTTTCTTATTATTACTCACTGAGAATGGTAGCCTTGTATTCTAATGTTTTCCAATACTCAAATCTTTTCTAATGATAAAAGGATTCAGATCAGTGAATTTTAGATATACATTTTGGTCAGTCAAAATAAAGCCCTGTAAATAAGGTCAAAAAAGGATTTCCTGCAGTGAGAATTCCAGTATTTGCTTTGCCTCATTCTGTTTCATTCTTACCGTAGTGCTAACATTTTCTGGGGTCAGGTTAACAAATAAGCAAAGCAGATTTAATCAATGTGACCCCTTTAAAAATTATAGTTAACATTTAAAATCAAAGAGTTCCTTGCAGGTATGTTCTGCAATGTAAATAACATAACAAGCTTCCAAAACCCAACCAGTTTTAAGTTCATGATGCAGACAGAAGTCCCAGAGTAGAACAGGGATTACTCAGTTTATTGCAGAGAAAATAGCTATGAGTACAACATGGGCAGCAAGCTTACGCGTGCAATTGGTGCAAGGAGCTTCTGACAGAGATTTGTTTTCTTGAGATAAGCAATTAAAGAAAAGGAAATGTTCACATTACAGGCCTAAAGGGATACTCAGCAGTCCTGCCTCTGTGCTGCTGAGGAGGCAGGGAAGCAGCATCTTGCTGGCAAGGAGAAATCAGTCTCTTGGACAAAACCCCCATGGCAGCTGATTTCATGCTGCTCAGCTGTGCCAAGGATGCCCCTAGATTTGAAGGGCTCTCCCTATGTCTTTAAGGGAGACATAGATGGTGAGAATGTTCCATTCAATTATTAGACATATGGACAATTGGGTCTGCGACATCCAAGACAACAAAGCAGTAAGTTGCTAACTGGGTACAAAGGCAGTGGACCTCAGGAGATGTTTATATGTTACCTAAAGGAGAACAGAGAAGGAGCAGTACTCGTGGTCTACATTAGTATCAGTGACGTACAGAAGTATAGGAGGAACACTCCAGAGATTAAATTCACACAGCCAGGCAAGAGGTTAAGTCCAAGACGCTTATGTCAGGTTTCTCTGAAATATTTGCTCTCCCACATTTGATGACAGGCAGGCAACTGGAGTCTCGGTGGGTAGGTAAGATGTCAGAGTGGAAAAGTCTAAGTACCTTAAGAACTGGGAAGTATATTAGGTAAGAGCCACCAGCATGGGATGGGCAGACTGCGTTTTAATTACAATGAATCCAGGCTGACAGCAATGAAAATTAAAATTAAAAAGGCCATAGGGAAGCTGTGGGTTAGCTGACAGGCATGAGAGAGCATCTTTTTCAGATGATTGTGACCTAGTGACCTAGGTGGACACAGAAAATGTTCAGTGCATCTCTGAAAAGGCAGGAATGGAAATACACTCTTCAGGTACACTGTGCACAATGACAGCTGACCAGTGCATGCAATGCTAAGCAATGGAGCGAGGGAAAAGCTTAGAAAAGGCCCAACATACTATAGGGGGAAAAAAAAATAAAAGTGTTGTTGATCTTTGAAAGTCTGTACCACTGGCCCTCTAATTAGGATGATGACAGTGATTAGGAAATGCTAAGTGAGATTAGAGGAGCTGAAAATTAATGACAAATAGCAAGAGATTTCAGCTACATACATGTACACTTGATCAATGTCTCTTTAGGATATGATGAAAATATTTTGTGACACAGTTCTGAATTTCTTGCTTGGACACTTAATTTAGGACCCAAGAGAAAAAATGTTATTCTGGATTTGGTCTCAAACACGAAGAGGACATGGTTTGAGAAGTGCAAAGCAGGAGAGGTGCTCTGTAGTAGTGATCATAAACCAACATTTAGTAAGGTAGCAAAAGAGAATAAAAAAATTAAATAAACGTACATTTAGTATATGTGTATTCAAGAATGGGAAGTATGAAAACACAAAGAACTTGAAAAACAAAAGCCAAAACCTTAAAGCAGCAACCAAAACAGCAAGAAACCAACAAGCAGCCTGAGGGAAAATTAAAAAAGTAGGAGCCCAAGTCAAACACATGCCACAAGTAAAAAATAAAGTTTCCAAAAAATCAAACAAAAAACCCTCTCTATGTAACTCCGTGAGAAAGATAAAGAGGTTACTCTAGAGAATTTGGCATTTAAAAACTGTAAAACCTATCTGAACAAGAACATGAAAGTTTCTAAAATATTCCAGGGCACACGTACATCATGGATGTTCAAACTGACAGCAGAAAGTATAGTAGAAGCAAAAGGTCCCTTTCAGCTCAAACCATTCTATGATTCTGTGATTTATACTGCTCTGTATTGCTTCTCTGGCAAGAGCTATTTAATCCCATGGACAACAGGAAACAGGAAAAGTGTCAGGAAAAGATCTTTAAAGAAAATAAAGGAAGGGAGCACCATTTTATTTTTTCCCCAAAGGAATACCCTCCAAGGAGAATCCTAGCTCAGAGACGAAAACCCAAGTGAAGACTGCTATGTCCTCTATGCTCAAAAAGTCCCCAACAGCCTAGTCACCAACATGCCAGAGATCTGTGAATACCAGACACCTCACCAAAGCAAAGGGGCATCCAACAAATTTATAGCCAACCTTGCCAAACAAAAGAAAGCCATTCCACACAGCATTACTTAAACCGCAGAACTGGTTGTCATATGGTGATAACGGGACAAAAAAATACATTCTATAAATACATTCTAAAAAAGGATTAGATTGATAGAATAATGAAAGATAGGTTGGCTTAGTGTGATGAACTAATAGACTTTTATGCTAAGCTTCATAAACCATCAATTGTTAGGAAATAGAAGGAAATATCATCCCAAGTTTGCTTCGTTTCTTGTACTCCTTCCCTAAACATCTACTGATATTGACAGTTCATACATATGACAAACGCTTTATTATACATAACTCTTTATTAAGGGTGATGTACCTTAGATGATTTAGGAAAGATAAGTGTATCATGAAACCAAGAAAATGACATTAGACATCTAGAAAAGATTTAGCTGCCGTCAATCAAATATTTTCTCTGAGCATATGATTTTTCTGATCAGTACTAATCTAGAAATTGCTTAGGTCAGTCATTTTCATTCAATTTTCTTAGTTAGAGTTATAGAAATCTTAAAGTTTAAATCCATCAACAGAAATCAGGCCTATATTCTTGCACAACCTTTTCTACCATAGAAAAATTCAACTCACATGACACACAAGTAAATTTTAAGCACAATTACTTATGTAGATAGATCATTCCAGATTTAATATATTTAAAAATTCTTTGCAGTAGACTATTTTATTTTCACTCCACTTGTTTGAGACCAAAATTGAACAGCAAGAGAAAATTCTTCCAGAAAAAACTTAGTATTCATTAAATAAATTATACACTCACCTGAAATGGCTTATTTGGTTTTCTAAAAGGGAGGAAAGTCTGTCCTTAATCTCTTCAAATCTTTCTTTCTCTTCAACAGATACTGTTCCAATTCCATCTGGCCTGTAATATTAAATATTTAATAATTGTTGATATATCTTCATGCTGATTCCTCTTTGAACAGTGTTCTTTACTTTCAAAGCTTTTAGTCTCCTTTCCCATTTCCCATTGCCTTGAAGGATAAACACTAACTTGTGAATATAGTTAAAGAACAGACCGCAACTAGACAAACAATTTAACTTTTGAGCTGAATTTTAAATTCAAGTCCTAAGTTTCTACCTGATCCCAATACGAACACAGGGTACATACATTTCTCCGAAATAATTCCCAAAGATATATAATATTCTTTCTCAAGAAAATTAGTACTACTGGCACAATAGAGTGGCCTACTCTTGCTAAATTTCAACTCTTTGAATCCTCCAGATATTTTCCCAGATGCTCAACATGTCTGAAAATGATTTTAAAATAAAGCTGAGAGGCAACCTACAGTGAGAAAAGCCGGAGCAGGCAACATGTAGGAATCCCCTGCTTAGAGTGAGCATGGATTTTTGATCCCCCATCCCATATTGACAAATAGCAGCAGGTAAACAAGACTTTGATATAAACATAGCATAATGGATGCAACAACAAATAGAGTCTTTGAAAAGTCTTTAAAAGTCTAAAAAAAAGTCTTTAAGAAACAAAAACACTAGTAGTTTTTAACATCAAATTTAAGTCCCATTAATGAATAATAAGCTTTGTATTAAGTATGTTAAGCACACAGGCTAAATTCTTAGCCTAAAGTTGTTGTTAATGTATTTATATTAAAACAGTATTAAATTAAAACAAAATTAAAGAAATTTACATACACATTTCCCAAATGATATTTTTGCCATGCACTCACAACTTCCCCACATAGAGCACACTTTAAAAAGAAGTATCTGAAAACTTCCAGTAACCCTCATAACTTCCAGCTCCAGGGTAACAAACCAGCTACTACTTCCCACCTGAGCTTCTGACCCTGACGCTAAGTGTCACTCTGCCATACAGCTCCTTCAGAGCCTCCAAAACTGTATCTCAATGTTTCTAGAACTGAGAAAATTGTAGCAAAATGACACGAAGAAAGACAAATTCTATGAATGTTCTAAGAATCATTCTCAGATTTTATGAATGTCATTTTGCTAAATTGTTACTTTAATTTATGTCTGCACTATACTTAAACCTAGAAGGGATAAGTTGCCACCTGGTCATGACATAAACAATTCTCTCACCCTTTAAATCACTTATATTTGTGATCTGTCAAGTCAAGGTGGAAAGAACACCTCAACTCCTTAAATTATTGTGAAGACAACAATAAAAATCAGATATGGTGGAGATATGAGTAACCAGGCACATCAATATACTATTGTATAAATTTGATGTGAAAGAGCCAATAACTTATCTTCTCTCTTTTGATGGATGCCAGGATACTTTACCTCAGCCTTCTGACAGATGGAATGGGTTCAACTTTAAGAAAATTGCACCGTCTGATTTCATTGTCAGGAGAGATCGTGCTCTGGAGTGATAAAGTAAATAGTTCTGTCATATTAAACCTCGCCGAGGCATGTCATATATATGACAGAAAAGACCTAGGGGTCCAGATAACAGCAAGTGAAAAAGGTGAGCCAGTAGGATGTCATATCTGTCAACCTGCACTAAGGCTGGGATCGCTATGTACTGGAGACCTGTCACTTCACGGACTTTGCTGCCGCAAAGAACCTTGCTGACAACACCTAAAATTTTCAGAACTGTTAAATATATTCTCAGTGGATGTTTGCATAGAAGCAAATGTTAGAAAAATTAGTGTCTACAGCACTGCAAAACTTTCTCTTGAAAACATGCTTTTAGAAAACAGCACAAACTCTAAATCATGATTTGGTTCTTCTCATTAGCCTTATTGCAACAAGACGAATATAAAAATGCATTTTCATAACATGTATTGTGCTGGCGATAATTTTTTGCTACTCTTGGGAATATCTATCTACCACTGAGAAAAAAGAATCCACAGAAAAAAGAATCTGACTCTGAGATGAGCTGAGATAGAAAAAATAGATGAATAGTTTCAAAATTCCCACTCATTTTGTCTTCTAGATCTTTTTCTTTAATTGCTATAAAGACAGAATAAAACAAAGTAGCACTGGTTTGAGCCGGTTACTTTTATTTAAAGATTAGTGTTCCTGCCAAGAAAATCAGACTCTGAAGCAGTCATTTGGTGTTCAAAGATTTAGGTCAACCATAAACTATGCAAAAAATACTTTACAACTAAAACCAACAACAAATGTGCCTTTCCTACTATCCCAAATGTCATGGATAGTGGTTTGGACTTGATTTTTTCAATCCAATACCAGTATTCAACTTTCTCATTGCAGCCTTCAAGAACTCAACCAAGAAAAATGATCTACCGTCTTAAGAGTTTTCATTTTAACATTATCTTCTCAAGAAGGTAAAGGGAGAGTGAATTTTCCTTCCCTCCACATTCTTTTCCTCCTTATTCTTCATAACTGCTTTTGGGATTAGAGAACTAGGTGAAACAGTGAACACTCGAAACCTGAGTAGCTTTCTCTCTATTACTTATATTAGTCTTCCATTTTTTAAGAACTCTGTCAATTGGATTTGGATTGGCCTGTCTTGTCTGCTTAGATCACAGGCTAACTGGCACAGATGTAATGCTGTCTCTGGTCACAACTCAAATTGTTTAATTCACTCAGACTTAAATATCAGAAGAGATATGAAATAAATACCTCATGAACTGGAGCTAGTAAATTCAAGTGGGAAGTAGCTGTTTGACCGTAAGACACAGAAATAATGACACCAAAACCAGAATTTGACCAGAATTTTTAAAGAAACTTTTACTGTGACAGTCTTGCAGGATTGCTGTCCTGATGGCAGTTACTCTAGGGAAGGTGATCGATTAGGTAGTAGATTTAGGTTTTCCTGTGGGAAGGGACTGGTTTTCCTCACTTGATATAATCCTTGGAGTAACCTCTGGAAATATTTTGATGTCTAGAGGTCCTAAAACCTGTAATAATTTGCAGAGGTCACTTGAAGTATTATAGGATTAAGATGCTTGTCATTAGCTATGGCACACGAGATAAAAATGGTATTCCAGGTCCAATGGGAATTACATATGATGGGAGCTGGGTTAACAGTAGATTGTTTCCAGCCCTCAACTTTGGAAACAGCTTCTCCTAGTGGCCTCTCAGAGAGTGAATTGTTACCTTAAGCAAGACTGCTTTGTTGAGACAGCCTTGCGAAATACTAACTGAATAGGACTAGCTTTTCCTTTTTCCTCTGGAACATCATTGACATTAGTACTTTTTATATATTAGTATATTTTATAAATGCGTAAAGTCTTTTCAATAAGCTTTCCTCATTTAAAACACAGACCATCACTTTGGCCTACCATGAAAAAAAACAGTATGAGGAGAGGAATGCACAGACTGATATTCTAACATGCACACACACTCACTTAGATGAGAACAGTACAGATGACCAAAAGAATGTGCCAAAGAGAGATGAGAAATCGTGATGAAAAACAAAATACAAGTAAAATACTTCAGCTAAGGTCTTACTTCAAGATATTTATGTAATAAACTACATTTCAAGGGTGTAGGAAAAACAAAACTTAAATGTCATCTTGGCTCCTAGAAACAAATTGTTTTAGCAGTCTCCTGGGCTTTCTAAGAGCACTTGTTTTCAAATTCATAAGGATGCACAACAAAATGAAGGAACAGTGACAATTTTCAAATTAGCAAGATAAAAGTTTGATGTGTTTCTTAGTAAACCGAAGATTAATTTGTTTAGAAATTTGGTAGAGATTTTATTATCTATTTATAGGACTTTAATACCCAAGCATTTTAATACCCAATTCTTCCTGTAAAACAAATTTGTATTAATTAAGGCTTTTGCAGAGTCCATGGTTTATGTTTGATAAGTCTAAGGAAAACAATGATTTACATTACCAGCTTAGAAGCAGGCAGAGCAGACGTCTTTTTATTAACAGAAAATGAAGAGAGCAAATTATCACGTGGTATTTAAACATAGCCTTAACCAGCAGGCACTTGAAGACCAAGCATTTTGTTGTTTATATTAACTATTCTTCAAACATTCTGACAAAAAAAAATTGGGACAATAGAGCCTTCTGCTGCATGCATTTCTCAGGCTGATCCTACATCTGCTTGCAGGTCATACCCTCTTTTTCACAAGTGAATGAAAAAGACCATTTCTGGGCCAGTAAAACAGATTAAGATGATAAATCAGGTTAATTTTAATGATCTTTTATACAGTTATATTTTAGATGGGATTCATTAATGCCCCACTACTGAAAAGCTAAGCATGTACTAATATAATATCATTTTACCCAAAGTATAAGGGTATATACAGGCACTAATCAGTTGAAATTAATGACAAAACAATTCATAATGTTTAGGGAAGGTAAGAGTATGTAATAGCATTAGCTGCTCCTTCGTTGCCTAAGATGGCAAGTATCACCTTAAACATTCAGAACTTTGTTACAATATTTCTTAATAATGTGTGAATTGTGATTAATTTTCTATTGACAATTTCTCTGAGGCTTTTCAGAAACAGATTTGTTTTGGTGTGTTGAAAAATGTGCCTCATAATATTGTAGTGAGGAGATGCATTATTGTAACATTATTATAGTTACTAGCACTTTCCAATACAGGACAGTATCCTCCCTTAAACCAATGGTGTTGTCCACATGGCTTCATTTGGTACCTGTAACAGGGTGAAGAACTTTGCTTCTAGCTTTGAACTCAGGAGAACTCTACTGATATCTTTCTTGTGGCTATTTAAAACAGTAATATATAGAAATAAAAAAAAAGTAAGAATAAAAAACATTTTTACGACAGTAATATATAGAAATAAAAAAATAAAATAAAGAAATAATATAATAAAAATCTGTCACATTAATGAACAACACTAATTAAAAAAACCTCAAACAACTATTCAGAGAGGCTGCACATGAGAGGTTTGGGGGTATGATGCTCATAAGCTAACCACTTAAAAAGGAGAATACGGATTAG